TCTGGGACTTGGGGGCCCCCTTCCACCCCTACCACGCTGACATCCTTGTGCAGTCCCACCACGCCTGTCAGGCACAGCTGCCCAGCATTGGCCTCAACCTTAAACTTCTTGGCTGGGCTGCTCAAATTTCGAACTCTGTATACAGATATGTGTACCCCCTATGAAAGGTCGTCTTTAAGCTTTTTACTTTTCTTGACCTTTCTCTGTTCTGCTGCAAGTTTTCCTGCAGCCTTGGCCTCTTCACGGCCAGTCTTTATAGCCTGAGTGTGGGCGCGGGATGATGACGTCAGGGAGGACCGAAGCTGCTGGTTGGGCTGGGGAATAGGGCACCTGTGCGTCACTTCCGGCTTCAGTGCTGTCTGATGACACGCATGCGCAGCGGAGCCAGTCTGGGTGCCCCGCCCCCATGGCCCCTTGACTCTCGTGGCCTGGTCCCCATCTGGGCCAGGGCTCAGGTCGCTGGCGCCGCCCTGATGGCTCCTCCCCTGCAGTGCGGACCAGAGCCTTACACAGAGCAAGCAGCCCCGCCAGGGGGTCAGTGGTTAGAGCGAAGACTCTGCTTAGAGGTTGGGAGGGGGGTTTGGTGATCCCGAGTTGGATTCCCGGTCCAGTTGGTGACGTGAAGAGGCAGCCAGAGGTTCACTCCAACATTAATGTTTCTCTCCCTTCCTCTCTTCAAAAATCAATTTAAAAATAGGATGTATGTGTGTGTGTGTGTGTGTGTGTGTGTGTGTGTGTGTAAATGGGGCAGCCCTAGCTGGCTTGACTAAGTGGATAGAGTCTGTGGACCAAAGGGTCCTAGGTTTGACTTTGGTCCAGGGCACATATGGGGTTGCTGGCTCAAACCCCAGGTTAGGGTGTGCAGGAGGCAGCCCATCATTGATGTTTCTCTCTCTCCTTCTCCCTTCCTCTTGGAAATAAAAGTAAAATTTAAAAATTAAATTACCCCATACTAATAAAAGGGTAATATGCTAATTAGGCCAGGTGACTGGCCATCTTCCAGATGTCTGACTTCCTTCCTGACAAAGCCACGGTGGTGGGTGCCGAGGCAGAGGTGGTTAGGGATGATCAGGCCAGCAGGGGATGTTGTGGAGGGAACTCGAGTGAATGACCACTGGAGCCCAGACCAAATTAAAATTTAAGGAGCCTTTATTAGCTGGCCAGCCAGCCAGCCAGCCAGCCGGCGGGTGACTGCTGTGCCTTTCTCCATGCAGGGAGTCCAGAGAGCATCAGTGACCCTTTGTGTAGGATGGCTTTTAAGCCCATTTACCACATCCTGTTTTTGCAGAACTAGCAATCCAAGACAAAACAGTTTTTCCTAAGCTACATCAGGATCATGCCACTGACGACCATATTATTCACAGGGTCATCCTGTTCTTCAGAAAGCTGACAGTGTTCTATCTTGCAAGGCTTACATGCTGGGAAGGGGCCATGAGACCGTATCTCAAGGCCTGGCCTGGTGTCAGCACTGACAACTCTATCTGGGGCATAGTCCACGGCCGTTCTGGAATGGGAGCAGTAAGCATGCTCAAAAATCCCCACTCTCTAACTGGGAGGGCAGTGCGGGCAATCAGGCAGCAGAGGAGGGCAGTTGGAGGCCATCAGGTTGGCAGGGGAGTGGTTAGGGCTGATCAGGCAGGCAGGCAAGTGGTTAGGAGCCAACAGTCCCAGATTGTGAGAGGGATGTCAGACGGCCAGTTTAGGCCCAATCCTGCAGGGACAACAGGCAGTCAGACATCCCTTGAGGGGTCCCAGGTTGGAGAGGGTGCAGGCTGGGCTGAGGGACACCACCTCCATGCATGAATTTTGTGCAGGGGACCTCTAGTGTGGAGAGGGCCAGGATGACCTTTATGGCTCAGTGGTTAAGCATCAAGCTATGAACCAGAAGGTCACAGTTCCACTCCCCCTCAGGGTCGTGCAGCAGGCAGCTCACCATTGATATTTCTCTCTCTCCTTCTCCCTTCCTCTCCTGAGACACGCCCCGCGCAGGATGGGGTTTGGGACCCGCTCCCAATATGTCCCTGAGCTCCTAGGCTGGGGCGCTGTCCAGGGCCAGGGCAGAGCCATCACCTGAAAAACGCACCAGCTCGAGGCCCGCCCTCAGTGGGAAGGTAGCCCCGCCCCCAGCGCGGGAGGAGGAGGAGCCTCTGCTGAGGGGTCAGGGGGCCCTGCTGCCCACTGGCTGGGGGCAAGGTGACAGCCTGCCCAGGCACACAGACCCTCGCACCCCGCAGCGGGGCCGGGAGGTGGGGCCTCTTGTTCTGGATTTAGATTCACATGTGCGTCACCTGGAATTACTTTCTCTGAAAAGCCCCAATGCCCATCCTGTTTCAGAGTTTTGTTTCAGTTTGGCCTAAGCGGGGAGCAAGCCCCACCGCGGACTCACGCGACCCCCTCTCCAGCCTCGGACATCTTGGCTGGTGCTCGGGGCCTCCCTGAACCTGACCTTCGTCCAGATCCCAGCACTTGGACCTGAACGCTCTCAGGTCAGGGCATTCCTTCTTTCTGTGTCCTGTCGCCCAACCAGAACAGAGGGAGTTTTAAAAAGTGCCTGGAGAGGCTGGGAGCGGCCAGGCCCGGAGCAGCAGCAGCCAAGTCCAGAGCAACTAGGTTGGGAGCGGCAGTGACCAGACCCGGAGCAGCTGGTTGTGGAATGAACCAGAGCAACAGAGGCCAGGCCCTGAGCAGCCAGGCCCAGAACAGCTCGCTCCTTGCCTGCCCCTGCACCACGGCTGCTTCTCAGACATGGCTGGAAACTTTCGTGGGAACTTGAGTGTCTGCTGAATCAAGTGATGAAGGCTTAGATCTGGATGTGTTGAGTTAGTTTAGGACTGGGGTGTTGATCTGTGAGTGCCTTGGGTGGGGCCTGGATGAGGCTGGTTGACCTAGTGGGAAATGTCTTTTGTGTGAAGTGTATCATTGGGCATGTGGAGGTATTATTGATATGAGAAAATGCTAAGTAACTGATTTACTATCTGAAAAGGGATTTACTATTGGGGAAATTGAGGGAAGAAGAGACTGAACATAAACTGCACCTATGGATGAGGACAATGGGGGATGGGGGGGACGGAGGGTGGGGTGGGAACCTGGTGGAGGGGGGAAGAAATGAGGAACCTTTGTAATAATATGAACAATAAAGATTGCTAAAAAAAAAAAAAAAAAAAAAGTGCCTGGAGAGTGTTTAGCACTTGTTGAAGCAAACTTCCTGCGTCCCCATCCTCAGGACACACACACGGACACACAGATCCACGGAGGAGGCAGGCCCCACTCTCAGGCATTTACACGAGTGGTGCAGACAGGCATTTACACGAGCAATTAAGACTTCAGTGTGGCCCGGCTGGTGTGGCTCACTGGTTGAGCATGGACCTATGAACCAGGAGGTCACGGTTTGATTCCCGGTCAGGGCACATGCCCCGGTTGCAGGCTTGATCCCTCGTGTGTGTTGGGGGGAGTGTGTATTGTGGGCAGGCAGCACCCAATCAATGATTCTCATCATTGATGTTTTTCTCTCTCCCTCTTCCTCTTTAAAATCAAACAACACACACACACACACACACACACACACACATTGGCCTGGGGAGCCAGGGGAATGTTGGTGAGGACCAAACAAATCTCAGTGGCTTACTACACGAGTATTAGGAACTCAAGCTGCTTCAGGTCCCATGTGGTCAACAGGGCCCCTGCTGTCAGGTGTGGGAGACCCCTGATGGAGGCCTCAACCAGGCTCCTGCGAGCTGAGTCATCACGACTGTGGGAAGCTGATGCGGCGGTGTCTTGGATAACATGTTTGTACGTTTACATAACACAGGTCTGCTCTAGGTGCTCATGGCAGTGGCTTACTTCTCATGACAGCCGGAGAGGGAGGGCTCATTGGTCAGAGGAGGCACGAGGTCCGGGGGCCAACCTATCGTGGCAGAGCCAGGATGCCCGGCCCCCTGCAGCCCCGGGGAATTCAGAAAGACTGGAACCCCTGCCGGGCAGGAAGTAGAGCGATTTAAAGGGCTTTGTAAACTGGAGGAGGCGGCTCCTGCCCCAGAGGATTAAGAACCCCTTGATTGTACTTAAGCGGGAGAGTGACATGAGCAGATTTGCCGGTTGGAAAAAATCACTGGCTAAACCCAATGCCCTTCTCCTCCCCCACGTCCCTCCGAACCCCCAAACCCATTTATCAGTGTGGCTCATTGCTCAACCTCGTCCAGCTGCTGAAGGATAAGGGATGTGCAGTTTCTCCTCTGAGCCAGGCTCCGGGATGCTGAGCCCTAAGCCGGCTTGAGAGGCAGACCCATGTCCACATATCAGTGGTCCCCACTCCGCCCATCCTGTCGATGACATAACGCTACAGCTCGTCTTTCTGAGTCACATAAGCTATTGCCTTCTGAAGTGGAGATGCCTTAATCCAGTTGCTCAGCCTTCAGCAATGAATACAAATGGGCATCTCTAATGCCTTTTGGGGAGTGGCTCCTAATGCAAAAACTTTTTTAAAGCTCTTCTTTTTTTAATCCTCACCCAAGGGTATTTTTCCATTGATTTTTTTAGGGAGAGTGGGAGAGGGAAACACAGAAACACCGATGTGAGAGAAATACATTGACTGGTTGCCTCCTGCATGCACCCCAACCAGGGCCTGGGCCCGGGAGGAGCCTTGCAACCGAGGTACATGCCCTTGGCCAGAATCAAACCCAGGATCTTTTGGTCCGCAGGCCGACGCTCTAGCCACTGAGCCAAACTGGCTAGGGCTCACCTTTCTTTCTAGTGCTCACCCTCCAGGCTTGGGCAAGACCCTCTATAGTAGCCACTGAACGCAATTGGGGGTCAGTGTTGCAGGGACTGAGCCACGTGTTGGTAATAATCCTCCCCCATCCTCACTCTCCTCCGGCCCTCCCCAGAGAAACCCAGTGACACGCCAGTAGTCTAAGGGCTATTTATTGAGAGGAGCAGAGAAGGCACATGGGTCCCCTGGGGATGGGAAGGGATGGAAGAGGCGGAGCGAGGCAGCCCCCTGCTCAGCATATTCTCTTGCAGCCCCACAGGGCCATCTTGTTGTTGACGGGCATCTTGAAGAAGCGGTCGGACTGCATGTAGGCCGCGATCTTCTCCAAAGCCTGCGGGGAAGCACGCCGGGCTCAGAGGCCAGCACAGCTAGCCTGTGTCTAACCAGCGGCACTCGCCGCTGCCCGGCCCCACCCCCCTTCGGGTACAGAAGCCGGACCCTTCCCAAGACGGGAAGGTCTGGAGGGGCCCAACCACGGATCCCTTGAGGAAAAGCTGGTGTTGGCAAGACCCACCACAGTGGGGCGCCCGGGGCCCCGGGGAGCCTGTGGGTGTGTCTGTGAGAGAAAGGTTTAGGGAGCATCATCACCTCAAAGCGGCACATGAAAGCCTTCAGGTTTGGAAATTCATCCAGGCACTTGGGCTCAAACATACGGTTCTGATCTAAGACGTCGTAGGTGAGGAAATCCACAAAGGTGAGCTAGGGACGAGTGAGATGGCGAGGTCAGGAGAGTTCCTGAGCTCCTGCGGCGACAGAGCATCCTCCCCTCCCCTCCTCCTACCTTGTCCCCCGCAAACCACGAGAATTTCCCCAGGAACAGGGAGAACTGCTTCAGCTGTCCAGGCAGCTGCTCCAAGTACGCGGGCTTCAGCTTTTCCTGGGGGGAGGGGGGGGGAGGGGAGGGAAGAGAGAGAGAGAGAGAAGAGTTGTGATCATGCTCACAGCTGATGGGGTTGGGGGCAGGGATGGACGCCTTGGTTTCCTACGGCTCCTTCCCCTCATGCCCGCCCGCCGGCCTGCCAAACTCACATGGTCCTTGTTGTAGCAGATCCGAACCAGCTGCATGCGGAAGTCCATGATCTGGTTCTCCATGATGTCCACGCGGATCTTTTCTTCTTCGGTGTCCCCACCTGCAGGCCAGACCACCAGCGGTCACCCCGGGCACACCCACCCCCCAGAGCGGCCAGCCTAGGCCCCTCCCCGGCCCCGCCCCACTCACACATGTTGTGCTTGCGCGCGATGTAGCGCAAGATGGCGTTGCTCTGGGTGATCTTGTTCTTGCCGTCCATGAGGTAGGGCAGCTGGAAGGAAAAGGTGACATGAACAGCCTGCCCGTCTCCTGGGGCAGCTGGGACTGGCAGGGATGTGAACAGGAGAGAGAAGATGCTATGCCAGGAGGAAGAAGCACTTAGGTAGAAGGCAGGGATTGGGCCCCACCTGAATTTAGGCAGGTGTGTGTGTGTGTGTGTGTGTGTGTGTGTGTGTTCGCCTTGCAGAAGTTTTTTTTAAAGTCATAAAGCAAATTACTCATATTTACACAATTTATAAAAACACTAAGAAGACCAGATTGTACCAATAATATGGGTCTATTAGTGAATCAAATAACAAGCAGGGGTAATAATTACCACAGTGTCCAAGTATGATGGCTGTACATATTTATTTACAACACCTACTGCACATCCAACGGAATATGAAAATGCCCCCTTTCTAGTGCAAAGCCACAGACGTGGCTCACACCCAGCGTCACTTATTGCTCACATGCGCAGTAGAAGGGACTGCTAACTTCAGTGAGTGCTTCGTGGAGTGAAAATAACTCTTTTCTCCACGTTCTTGAGCCCCTGAAGTCTGCTGTCCTATCCAGGGGAAGAGCCCGGTAGTGGACGCCGCCCAGGCCAGAGAGGGCAGAAGTGAGGTTCCAGGGGACCGCCCTTCTTCTGGCTCCCCTATACCACCTACGTTTGGAAAGTCCAGGTCCAGCTTGAATTTCACATCCAGCCATTGGCTTTTATCAAAGTCAGGAGCTGCAAGAGAGAGAATGGAGTGGGACCCAACCTCCTCCCCCACTCCCCTCCCCCAGGGCAGCGGGGACCTCCCCCCAGGGCAGCGGGGAGATCTGGGGAATAGCCCCCTGCTTAACCATTTCATGGCCGGGGCGGGGCCGATGGTTAGGTGTTAGGACGGGGTTGGGCCGAGGGAGAACCCAGCTCCAGGTGAGCGCTCCCAGGTGGGGGCACTGGACTGGGGGTGATGCCACCTTCGGGGCGCGCCTTACCTCCCCCGCAGATGTACCGTTTCTCCTCGTAGTTGGTGCCTGTGAACTCCAGGAGCAGGCGGATGGCGTGCGCCAGCTGGGGGGCGAGGGAGGGGGCACAGCTCAGATCGGCGCCTGCGCAGCCCCCCCCCCCGCCGCCAACGTCCCCCCCCCGGCTGCGAGCCCCCTCCCGCCCAGCAGTCGTTAAGCCGCCCCCCGCACCCCCGTTCGCCCCCCATCGGCCCAGCGAGGGCCGTCCCCGGCCTCTCCCCGGCCCGGGTCCCAGGGGCGGGACTGGGGCGGCCGGGCTCCGGGGACAGCCCTCCGCGGGGGCCGTTGGCCGGAGCCCCGCCGCCTCGGCGTCCGCCTCCCGGACCAGCGGCCGCCGGCCGTCGGGGCACTCACCCCGCGGATGTCCCAGTACCCCAGGACCATGGACTTGGCCGACGACATGGTGGGGTCCTTTCCTGCCTTCGGGAGGGAGGCGAGCGCCGACCTGGCGGCTCTTTATACCCGACCTGGTGGGCGGGGCCGACGCGAGAGCTGACTCCGCCCCGCCGGTTCCCTCCTAACGTGCCGCGGGCCGCGCGCTTCGCTGCTGCAGCCCGAGGGGAGGGGTGCAGCGCGCGTGCTGGGGGGCTGGGGGCCTGAGGCCTGGGGCCCTGGGGCCTGGGGACCTGGGGTTGGGACTGCGCTCCCCAAGGGTGGGAGCCGCACTCCGTTAATGGTGCCCACAGCCTGAGCAGTGAGGGCTCTGGTGAGCCCGGGAGAGTGAGATATTTACTTAGTTGGGGGGTAAGGGGGAAGGTGGGCAAGGCTGTGGCTCTGATCACCCCGGAACCCCACCCTTGTGTGCATGTTGGGAGGTGGCAGGACTCAGGAGCTACTCCAAGGTTCCTGGCCCCAGGGTCTACCCAGCTTGGCCACTTAGGACCCAAAACCCTTTCCTGCCTTGCCCGGATGTGGGAAATCCTATTTCTCCATTAGTCTGGCTGAAGCAAGGTTGGAACTTTTTAAAAAGACATTTCACTATAAAGAAGAAAGAAAGAAAGAAAGAAAGAAAGAAAGAAAGAAAGAAAGAAAGAAAGAAAGAAAGAAAGAAAGAAAGAAAGAAAGAAAGAAAGAAAGAAAGAAAGAAAGAAAGAAAGAAAGAAAGAAAGAAAGAAAGAAAGAAAGAAAGAGAAAGAAAGAAAGAAAGAAAGAGAAAGAAAGAAAGAAAGAAAGAAAGAAAGAAAGAAAGAAAGAAAGAAAGAAAGAAAGAAAGAAAGAAAGAAAGAAAGAAAGAAAGAAAGAAAGAAAGAAAGAAAAAGAAAGAAAGAAAGAAAGAAAGAAAAAGAAAGAAAGAAAAAGAAAGAAAGAAAGAAAGAAAGAAAGAAAGAAAGAAAGAAAGAAAGAAAAAGAAAGAAAAGAAAGAAAGAAAGAAAAGAAAGAAAGAAAGAAAAAGAAAGAAAGAAAGAAAGAAAGAAAAAGAAAGAAAGGAAGAAAGAAAGAAAAAGAAAGAAAGGAAGAAAAAGAAAGAAAGAAAGAAAGAAAGAAAAAGAAAGAAAGAAAGAAAAAGAAAGAAAGAAAAGTGCCACTCATAGAGACAGATACATTCATAATGGCTGAATCTCTCCTCGGAGGTAACAAACGGCCAGTCACAAATTCGCCTGCGGTGTAAGACTAACCTTCACTATCTGTGAGATGCCACCAGTCATCTCGGTACTTCATATCTGTTAAGCTTCACAACTTTTCGAAGTAGATTTGATGCCATTTCACCGAAGGGGATAAAGGAGGTCTGGAGGGGCTGGGGAATTGCCATGCTAAGCTCTTACATTCATTCTCAAGGGCGGCAGCCCAGGTCTGTCTCATAGCACAGCTCATGGTTAGTTCCGCTGAACTGGACATCTGGGCAGCCCCCCACCTGATCTCAATCTTTGTTGGGAATTCTGGGGGCCGAGGGGCTAAAACACCTTTTCCCTGGAGTGTCTCCCTCTTGCTAGGGCACCTGCAGGTCCCCCAAGCCCAGAGATCAATGGGTTAATGCCTCCTCCCCATCCCAAGACATTAACTTTCTGATGAACTTTTGCCCTTGACAGTCAGACACTGAGGGTCTTGCCTGCGCCCTCTTTTGTGAGGGAAAAGAGATGATATTCTGAGGCTGGAAACTCGAGGGAATGACATAGGGGGTCTGCACCTCGGGTGGCCCAGGGTCTTGGCAATGGTAAGGTCTTGGACAAATCCAGCTAAGAGATACTTACAGAAACATCTCAAGTACCCCAGGGTGCCTCCTGCCGGGTTTGCTCAGTGGTTGGAGCATCGGCCCAAGAACTGAAGGGTCCCGAGCTCGATTCGAGGGCACATGCTTTTGGTTGCAGGCTCAATCCCTGGTCCCAGGAGGGGCGTGTGCAGGAGGCAACCAATTGATGTGTCTGTCTCGAATCGATGTTTCACTCTCTCTCTCTTTCCCCCTTCCTTCCACTCAATCCCAATAAAAATCAATGGGGCCGAAACCAGTTTGGCTCAGTGGATAGAGCGTCAGCCTGCGGGACTCAAGGGTCCCGGGTTTGATTCCGGTCAAGAGCATGTACCTTGGCTGCAGGCACAGAGAATCAATGTCTCTCATCAATGTTTCTAACTCTCTATCCCTCTCCCTTCCCCTCTGTAAAAAATCAATAAAATGTATTTAAAAAAAATAAAAATCCATGGGAAAAATATCCTCAGGTGAGGATTAACAAACAAAAAAAACAAAACAAAACAAAACAAAAAAAGAACTCTAAGGGCCCTTGATTCAGCCTTCCGTGTAGACTGAATCAGAAGTGCCTCTGCTATGGGAAGGGAGCCATGACACTTAGGAGCTGAAAGACCGCCGTGCCCCCTAAGTCCCAGAAGCCACATTAGTGCCGAAACGCTTCATAAACCTGTGAGAAAATCGGGCCCAGAGAGTGAGGTGCCCTGCCAGCCAGTTGGTGGACTTTGAACTCCCAGTCCAACGTTCCCCACGCTCTGTCCCTGGAGACAAGCTTGGGAGGGAGCTCACGGTCGGCTCACCCACCGGGAGGGGACAAAACCTGTGTCAGAGGAGGAAGCTGCCAAGCAGACCGGCAGGCAGGGCGCTGATCCACACCTCCCGCCCGCAGCCCGCACTCCCTGCTCCGGCGGATGCCGTGCCCTCCGCGCTGCTGGGCGCCTGGCATACACCGGGGAAATGTGCGCCCAAGGGCAACGATGGTGAGCACCGCTGGGGCTTTGCTTAGGAAGAGGGTAAGCAGGGCCTGGGCCGTCATTCACAAAGGCTGGCTTCCAGGGGGCCCGCTCAGTCTGGTCCAGGGATGGATGCAGAGCTGCTGCTGGGTCGTCTTGGTTATTGGGAGCAGCGTCCCAGCTCCTCCCGCCGCCCCGCCTCTGGCCCCCATCAGGCCCAGAAGAAGCCGCGAGGGAGGCGCATGCCAGGCTAGAAGACGCTTTTATTGGGGAGAGAGGACTGAGCGGCATCCCGACAAAGCTTAGCGCTCCGGGCCCAGGACAGACATAATAAATAGGTGGTCGCTGGGGAGGGCTCCCCACGCAGCCAGAGGGCACGGTCTGCCCACCCTCTGGGCTGGCTCGTCCTCTGCTGTGTGAGCTGGGTGTGGGGTTCGCTGCAAGCTGGGGACCTGCGAGAGGACTGCTGGGGACTCTAAAGAGAATCAGAGCCTCCGTCTGGCTGCGAGAAGGCCTTGATCTTGGAGGTGTCTGAGCTGGTGCCTACGGGCTTATCTGAGGAGAGAAGGATGGAGATGAGGCTGGTGCCAGGGAAGGCACCCCCGGCCTCCAGAGCTCCTGTGGACACTCTGCTCAGACCTCCAGGCCTGCCTGAGCCCAGGATGCCAAGTCCCTGGGGGAATAGCCGTGCTCAGTACCCGCCACGCTCAGTGCCACCCTAGGGCAGGCCTGCGGGCTCTCACTGTCACCCGCATTCCCACTGGGGTTCCCCGGGTGTCCTCACCCCCAGCATCCTTCTGGTGGCCTCCAGCCGGGCCGCGACCCGGGGGGTATCCTGCGGACACATCGCCTGGAGCTCCCCAGGGCTCAGGTACAGCAGCTGCGACCCCGTCAGGGCCCCAAGGGTGTTCACGGTGCTGGGGACAGACGGACAGATGGAGGCCGTCAATGCGGGCAGAGGATTCGGGCCCGAGTCTGGTGGAGAGGAGCTTGGGGGTTGGGGTTGCGGGACAATTTGTGGAACAGGACGTGTGGAGGGGAAGGAGTAACGCACGCATTTTGGCTTACACCAATGGCAGACTCCTGGTCTGGAGGGAAGCATGCAGGGGAGAAAATCTTGTGGGGGCAGTGGGGGTAGGTGGGTGGGTGGGGGTAGGTGAGTGGGTGGGGGGTAGCAGCTGAGGTTCCTCCTGTGTCCCCCCAATCTCACTGCCTTCCCCATGGCAAGGGCTCCCCACTTAGGCAGGAACACAGCCCCTCTTCTGCTGGGACAGGGCAGCACATGTGGGACCGTGGTGTACCATGTAAGCACCATGTCGGTAGCATGTAGGTAGCGTGCAGGTCAGGAGGCAGGTCCCGGGGTTCTGGGTCTCCTTGCTTACTGTCTGAACCCTCCCCCAAGCCCCCCATGCACCCCCGGGACGAGGCGCTCACCCAGGGGCGAAGTTCTCTGCCTGCAGCCAGGCTCTGACCTCCTCGGGCCTGGCGCTGAGTCGCAGCATCGGTGCCTAGAATTGGGGGCACTGGGAGTCAGAGACCGTCTCCCCCTAGAGCCCCCTAGGACCCTCATAGCCTGGGCCCCAGCAGGTGACCCGCCCCGCGGCGTGCATGCTGGGCGGGGCCCAGGCTCAGCCTCGGTTCGGGCTCCTGCTAAGCTTGGCCACGTGACATGTGATGGCATTAAATCAACCAGGACGGCCTTCTCCCCCGTCCTGAGGCCCCGCCCACCCGCTCCGGCCCCAGAGCTGTGTCCCGTTGAGCCCAGGAGTACCCGAAGGGCCGGGCTCTGGCCCCTGGGGGACCCCGACTCCAGGGGCTCCAGGATGTTGCTGGGAATGTAGCCGCTCTGGCCCCTCTGGTCCTTCACCAGCCACCACCGCTTGCTGTGGTCCAGAACCTGCAGGAGTCACCCTCGGTCACGCGAGCCTCTTCCTCCTCGACAAAGCTTCCTCCTTCCAGCCCTCCCCCTACACCCCCACCCACACCCCCACCCCCACCTGCACCTGCACCCAGGCTGCCCGCAGCCGCCCAGCCCTCACCTCCAGCACTTCTCCCGGGGCCACGGTCAGCTCCTTGGGGTTTCTCGCTTTAAACTCCTGTAAGACCTGCATCCTCAGAGCTGGCTGAGCTGGCCTTGGGGGGAAGGGTCCAAAGTTAGGGTCCCGGCACAGAGGGCCATGGGGTGTGTCTCCTCTTGAGCCAAGTGGGAGGTGCTCCCTGACCTGACACGCCCCGACCCCCAGGGTGCTGGAGCCGGGCCTGGGGAAAGGAGCCCCTGGCCCAGCCCGGGAGCCCAGCTGTCTCCCACAGGCGCCTGGAGGTGACAGCTGGGGTTCCACAGGGTGAGTGACAGGGCGGTGCTAGTGGGACTGATGGGGCGCTGTCTGCAGGCAGCAGGTCTGGGATGTGGCTGATCTCTGAGGACTCAGTGGGGGACTTCTCTCCCTCTGAGCTCTGCCCTATCCCCGTGCTCTGGGAAGTCAGAGGCAGCGCTAGGAGAGGGGTTGCACCTGCGTTCTTCCCCAAGGGGGCGGGGTGTGCCTGTGCATGGATGCGTCTGGCCGGAAGCCTAGAGGGTGCCTGAGAGGTAGCACCCACAGGCCCGCAGGTCAGCCACTTCTCGCCCTCCCCTTAGCCGAGCGGCCCTGACCAAGCCCCGGGGCTCACCGGAGGGAAGCAGAGTCCGGGCGTCCTGAGGGTGTCTGTGGGGGCGGGACAGAGGGAGCGGCAGAGTGAGGGAGGGCAGCCTGGAGGCAGGGACCTGGCCACAGAGCCACGCCCACACAGCGCCTCACGCCCCCTCCCCTGTCCGCCTGGCACCTGCATATGGGTTCCCAGTTGCCATGTGACCACGGCGTGGACTGAGAAGGCAGAAAGGAGCCAGAGGTCAGGGCTTGGAGTAGGACTCCCTCCCCTTACCTGGCTGGAAGGTTCTGGAGGCTGCCAGCCGTCATGGAACGTGGGTTGGTAGGGCGGGGACTCAGGGCCCGTCCAGTTGTCCCTGGGGAGAGAACCAAGCTGAGCCCACTGCGCTCCGGGTCGGGGGACGGAGGAGGAGACGGAACCTCGCCTCGGGGTGTCCTAGGGCAGGGGCGGGAACCTGCTTTCTGCCCAGGGCCGTTTGGATATTTATAGCCTCATTCAAGGGGCCATACGTAACTATCAACTTAAAAACTAGCTGCTGTACCTGGCCGGACATTTAATCAAACCGCCCCTAAAGCCTCGGCAGGCCAGGCGAAATGATCTCGTGTGCCTTAGATGGCCCGAGGGCTGCTCCCGATCTGGGGAACGGAGGACGTGCCCAGGCCCACAGATGGAAGGATCCAGAACACCCATGAAGGGGCCGAGCGCTGGGCGCCGGCAGATCCCGCAGGGCAGGCGTCTGTGCCAGCTTCACCGCTGCCCACGGAGCCGGCCATGCCAGCTCCCTGAGAGCACGCCGGGCACCGGGCACACCCACGGGGGGCTGGGCTAAGGTGGGGGCTGGGCAGAGTGGGTGTTTCCTGCTGCCGGCACTGAGCAGGCGCCTGGGAGGCCGCCTCTCTCCCTGTGCTGCCCGGACTCTGTCCCCGGAGCTGCCATCCCCGGACAGCGGAGGGGACACAGGCGGCAGCTAAGAACGTGTGTTCAACGGGAACAAGTAAATTGTTTATTTTCTGAATCTTTTTAAACGGTCCCTTCTCTTTGCCTTAAAAACATGCTCAGTGACTGTGTCACTACTGCTTTTAATCTGTCCTTCTTTTACCTTCTCTGTACTAGCTTTTAAAAATATATATATTTCTATTGATTTTAGAGAGGAAAGGAAAGAGTGAAAGGTAGAAACATCAAAGATGAGAGAGAATTATTGCTCAGATGCCTCCTACACGTCCCCCACTTGGGCACGTGCCCACGACTGGAATCGAACCTAGAACCCTTCAGTCCGAAGGCCGATGCTTTGTCCACTGAACCAAACCAGCCAGGGCCGTACCAACTTTTTTGCAACCTGGTTCTTACCTCCGCCATTACTTTACCGATACCAGTTTTTCTAAAGCCCCCTCTCATCTCCGGATTGCCAAGTCCACTGGCTCTGCACGGCCCGTGCCCTTCCAAACCACAGCTTTGGGTCAGTTTGCCTACAATCCAGCCACCTAACTCTAACTGGCCTGACATTCAACTCTTGAGTGTTTTTACACCCTCTTTAGACGAGTTTCTGTATGTTTGACTTTTCAACGCATGCATTCACTAACTTCTTGTTGTTGTAAGAAATCAGAAAACATTCCGGGGCATATCTGACCCAATTTTGCATTTAAAACGATACAGGGAGCCGGAAAGGAGGAGGAGCTCCCTGGGGCTGGGGAGAGGGAGGCATCGGCGCAGTTTTGTTACTTGCTGAACGGGTACAGAGTTTCTGTCTGGGACCAGGAGAAAGTTCTAGAAATGGACATGGTCATGGTCGCCCAACATTGTTAGGTATTTAGTGCCACCGAATGACACTCTTAAAACCATTGAAACGGTGAATTGCGTCTTATGTGCATCTCAGCACAATTAAACAGACAGACGGCGTTGAATTGTACTTTATGTCGTTGGGTGGGTGGGACAGCAGCCCCATTCACGGGGCTGTGTTGAAAATAACTCACTAGGTAAGCTGCCGGAGCAAGCAGCTCACTTCCTGGGTGGTTTCTCTCTCTAAAACCCTCTTCTCTCTCAGTTTTTATGCCTCTGCTCTTTTGTTTATTCTTTTAACTCTGGGGAATTTCTCTTTGCCTCCTGAGTCTTCCTTCCTTTCTCCCCTGACACATAGAAGTTTCCCTTCTCTCCCCGGCCCAGACGGACCTTGCTCACTAAGGGGAGTTCCAGCGCTGCCCGCGGAGGGCTCACCTCTAGGTGGCGCTAACCATCATGTCTGAACCGACTGTTCTCAAACCCTCAAAGCCAGGTTGGACGGCTCACCTGAGGGCCAGGGTCCCCCGCCCCACCCCCTTCTCTGTGGAATGTTCACTGGCACCCCAGCCAGCACATCCACATCCACGCTGGCTTTACCCTCCGCTCCCCACGGCTCTCATCGGTTTGGCCTTGTTGTCCATCTGCCCCCCTCAGGGTAACACGGACGTGGCATCCCACTTTCGATCTTAATTCCTACATTTGCAGCAACGCTTATGTCAGTAATTCTCAAGTTCTGAGACAAGGCTTCACTTTGTCCTCGGCAAGAGTAAGAAAACATTTTGGTAGAAGGTTGCCAACCCTACATTCTGGGGAGAATTTGTTCTTTTTTTTGGGGGGGGGGGGAGATAAAGCCTTTCCTTCTGAGGCGGGTGATGGCAAGCGATGGTTTTAAAAAGAAATGTCCCAGCCCTGGCGGTGTGGCTCAGTGGTTGAGCGTTGACCCATGAACCAGGAGGTCATAGGTCAATTTTTGGCCAGGCACACGCCGGGGCTGTGGGCTCGATCCCCAGGAGGGGGCACACAGGAGGCGGCTCAAAAATGATTCTCTCACTGTTGATGTTTCTATCCCTCTCTCCTCCCTTCCTCTGAAATTTTATATATATATATATATATATATATATATATATATATATATATATATATATATAGTTCGTACTTGGTGTCACATAGAGCTGGGGCAGTTTGTCTGGAGGTGTACTGGTTCGTGATGGTGGAGAGCTCGCTGCGCCCCATGTCCTGCACTGTGCCCCCCCCCCCCCCCCCCCGCGCGCCCAGCCTCGCCCTCCCTCACCGGCTGGTGGTCCAGGCCAGGCCCAGACTTTTCCAGAGTTTACTGTCAGGCGGGCTCAGGTGGGACTCGAGCATGTCGACGGCTTTGGGGGTGAGGAGGGGTGAGATCACTTGGCCTGCGAGGTCCGGCTCAGGGCAGTGCTTCAGGACCTGGAGGGAGGAGGGCGGGTCCCGCAGGCCCGGCTGGATGGGAAGGGCTCGGAGTCTCCTGCAGCTTCTGCCGTGCCCTTGGCCGCAGGCCTGCTGCCCCTCCCGGCCTCAGAGCCCGCTGTCCTGGGCTTCACCCCAGCCCCTCTAGTTTGCAGCACCCCGCAGGATGGGGGATGGTGTGTTGGGGTGGAGGAGGATGTGTGGGGGGAGTGAGGGGCAGACCCCACAACCTCCCTCTACCCCCTGCCAGCCACCCTGGCCTCTGCTCGGTCTACCCTTCAGCTTGTACCTCTTCGCCACCCTGACCTCTTCCCCCTCCCCCCACTCACGAAGTGCAGAGTCTGGAAGATCATGTGCAGCAGCTCAGGGGCACTGGGCTCCGACAGGTGGACGGCCAGCCTCCCCTGGGGACACGGGGTACCATCACCACCCGCATCCATCCCACCTGCACCGGAGCCCCAGGGCCCATGGGTGTCGCGGGCCTTGGTTAGCAGCCTGGCACTGTCCGAGGTCCTGAGAGGGGGGAGGGGAGGCTCCAGGGGAGAAGCCTGGGGGGCCTCTGAGACCAGGGAACGGGGGTCCCAGGGGCAGTGGTGGGAGGGAGGGGGGCTGGGGACTTATGGGAGCCACATACCAGGAGGTTGAAACTGTACTTGAACTTCTGGAAGCAGTCGATGTACTGCGCCTGCATCCTCCCTATGGGGTGGGGATGGGGAGAAGGTAGCTGGTCACCCATTATCCCGAGGCCCCGCCCCTCCCCCGGCCCCCAGCACTCACCCCCCTGAGCCACGCTCTTCTTCCTCCCCTGCTTCTTCGTCTTCTTCGTGCTGCCGCCCGCCGGGGCCTGCCTCAGCGGCTGCACGAACACCTCAATGTCGCTCAGGACGTGGTTCAGCAGTTCCTGCACGCGATCAGGCCCCCCTGGCACTGCCAGCCTGCCCCTGCCCCTGCCCCAGCCCCTGCCCCAGCCCCAGCCCCTGCCCCAGCCCCAGCCCCAGCCCCTGCCCCTGCCCCTGCCCCAGCCCCTGCCCCAGCCCCTGCCCCAGCCCTTGCTGCTGCCCCTGCCCCTGCTCCTGCCCCCTGCCCCCGCCCCCCTACCCTCTCCTCAGCCCAAGGCCTGCCTTGGCCACCCTGGGGCCTGGTTTTGGGGGAAGGGTTGGTGTCCCCCTTCGCCAGGCTTGGGAGCTCGGCAGGCCCAGACGGCCTGCAGTTACCTCGTCCCTCGATGGGTCCTCGGGGGTCGGGGGCCGCCTTGGAGGAGGCAGAGGGGCGGGGCTTGGTTCTTGGACGCTGGAGTGTCGTGACTGGGGCCATGGGGACGGCGGCTTGCCTGCCATGGAAGAGGACATGGCCTCTGGTCTTTATCTAAACCTTCTCCTCCCCGTCCCCACCCACACACCCACCCCCACACCCACACTTACTGCGCTCTGGGGCCCTCCAGGGGGGCTGTTCTGGAGGGGGCCCCCACTCTAGGGGGGCTGCCTGCTCCCTAGGGAGTGGCCTTTCCAGAGGAGCCCCCCGCCATCTGTCCTGGCCGGGGAGAGGGACTCCGAATCGGGGTCTGCCGAGCACACAGTGGGGACACAGGCTTGACAGTGTTTGGGGGAAAGAGGCTGTGCCCAGACTTCTCTGCAGGCCTCCCCCTGGAACCTCCCCTGCCTCCCCCTGCCTCCTCCTGCCTCCCCCTGCCTCCCCCTGCCTCCCCCTGCCTCCCCACTGCCTCTCCTCTCCCTCCCCCTGTCTCTCCCTGCCTCTCCTCTCCCTCCCCCTGCCTCCCCGCTGCCTCTCCTCTCCCTCCCCCTGTCTCCTCCTGCCTCTCCTCTCCTTCCCCCTGCCTCCCCCTGCCTCCCCCTGCCTCCCTGCTGCCTCTCCTCTCCCTCCCCCTCCCTCCCCCCTGCCTCATGTGCCCTCTGAGCTTCCTCAGGTCCCTGTCAGGCTCCAGGGACAGTCTCCAGCGTCCCCTGGGCCAGGCCCCAGCCCATCTGGCCTTGGCCCCAGCACAGCCCCCCAGCTCCAGGCCCCGGTCCTGGGCTGCAGGCTCCGGGCTCTCACCGGGGCAGGATGGAGCTCTCGCTCCTGCGGGCGGCGGGCAGGGGCTGCCTACCTGAGCTCCAGCTCCTCCTTCAGGGCCTTCTCCAGGCTGGTCCTCAGCCGCTCCGCCTGGAGGAGGCAGCGGGTAGAGGTGTGTGTGCGCGCGCGCGCGCGCGCGCGTGTGTGTGTGTGTGTGTGTGTGTGTGTGTGTGTGTGTGTGTGGAGAGGGGGTGGTGGTTGGACCCCGCACCCACTCTCTTCTTGACCCCACCCCGGCCACTCACCCCCACTTCCGGGCACTGGAAGAGCAGCGTGCTGCTGCCCGCCGGGCCTGCCCCCTGCACGGTGATGGACAGGACGGACTTGAAGGAGCAGGAGTTGAGCACCGCGTCCATGGCCTGGATGCTGTCCAGGCGGTAGGAGTCCAGCTCCTCCTGGGCCCGGGGAGAGGGGCTGTGAGGTGGCTTTGGGGGGCTCCTGGCCGGGGTCACCCCAGGCCGGCCGTGGCCTGGGGCTGGAGTGTCCACTCCCCTGGCCCCTGGCCCCGTGTCCGGTCTCTTCCACGGGAGGGCGGCTGCCGGGAGGGGCCGGGACGGGTGGAGCGACGCCCGGGCTTGCTCTCCGGCAGCCGGGTTAGCGCCGCCGGGTGGGTGCGCGGGGGCTGACCTTGGTCTCGATGTCCAGCAGCTGGAGCCAGCCGTCCCGGACCTGCAGCAGCAGGTTCTGGCTCCACACGCGGCCCTGCGCGTCCAGCTCCTGCAGCCGCTGCACGGCGTCCTTGGGCTCCTGGAGCCCCTGCGTGCCCAGCTTGCACGTCATCAGGTGCTGCAGGGGGAGGGGGCAGGTTTGGGGGTGCAGTGGGGCACATGGGGTGGCAAAGGGCAGCAGAGGAGGGAGCGGGGCCTTCCCATAAGGCAGCCTTCAGGGGCCGGGGAGGCCGGGAGCTGGCTAGGATGGGCCCTGGGGGCTGAGGGGCTGCACTAGGAGGCTTAGGGTTCTGGAGGGGAGACGTGGCCGTGAGTAGTCCAGGGGGGTGAGGGGGCTGGGTGGTGATCATGTGGGCTTCAACCACCCAACAGATAAAGCGTGAACTCCTCTGGGGGACAGGCAGAGCCCCCCAATTTCATCTCTGGCTTCCTTTGTTCCTTTGGGAACCCACTCTCCCAGCCTGGGCCTTCTCTCTGACCTGCATCCCTGTCCCCACGCCTTTGCTCATGCTGCTCCCCGCCCCTCCCCACTGCTCCTCCAGCTCCTCCCAGCTCCTCCCAGCTCCTCCGATTCCTGCCCCTTGGGGTGCGCAGTGATCATATCTCCTGTCCCTCTGTGGGTCTGATCATCCCCCAGGTTCCCGCTGTCACTCTCCCTCCTCCCGTCCAAACGCACCCTCCACAGGTCACAGTCTTGCCCTCCGTCCCCTCCAGGCCCTTGTTGGGGGCGTGTCATCTGCCTCCTCCCTGGTCCCACTGCCCGGCTCTCTGCCCAGGCCCCAGCGCCTCTCCTGGGGGCGCCGCCTCATGCCCAGGGCCCTGATGCTGCTGTGAGCGGACGCCCTGGCATCCTGGGCGGGCGTGCCTCCTCTTGCTCTCGCCCGCTGGGCCCGAGGGAAGCCAGTTCCCAGTCCCGGCCCCACCACGAAGCCCAGGACCCGGGTCCCAGCTTCCGCGGCCCCTGGAGCCTCCCGACCATCGCCCACGTCCCTCCTCCTCCTTCCCGGACAGCCCCACCCTGCCGCCGCCTCCGCTCGCTCTCCCCCCCACGCCCTTCCCGTCGGTGCCCACAGCCCTTCAGGCAGCTGGATGCCACAGGTCAGTGTCCTCCTCCCAGGCCAGAGCCTCCAAGCAGCTCTGCCCGCCGCCCTGGGAGCCCAGGCCCAGGCACTGCCCCGTGGGGCCTGCTGACCTCACACATTCCTCCTGCTCCTGGGCCAGATGCCGGGCAAAGAGCAGTCGCGGGGTTGAGGTGTGGCAGGGCGGGTCTGGGACAGGTGGGGGTGGGAGTGGCTGCACGTGTCTCCCCTGCTGTCCTGGCTCCTCCAACCTCCCTCCCGCCGGCTGCCTGGGTCTCCCCAGCACTGAGCCTCGCGAGGCCCACGGAGCCCCCCTGACCTGGCGGGGCCAGCTGCTGGCTCCGTGGCAGGACACGTCTGGGTGTCTGATTTGGGGCAGGGCCTTGGGCACCAAGAACACGGGGTGGAATCAGGAAATAACTGTCTGGGCCCCGGGTTACTTACCTCCACCTGGTGCTGCAGGCAGGCGGGCTCGGAGGCCAGGATGTGCAGGTACTCCTTCCGGTGCACTGCGGGGGACAGCGTGGGTGGGGGAGGGAGGGGAGAAGGCCCAGGTGAGGACGAGGCAGGGCGGTGGGCAGCATTTGGAGGGCCAGGGGGAGACGGGGGAGGGAGAACTTACTGTAGATGGCTTTGCTGCTGGGCCGGGACATGGTGACGTGGCTGAGTGAGTCCCTAGAACCAAAACTGAATCACAGGAACAGCCGTCAGCCGTGGAGAGAAACCCAGGGCGGAGGGGCAGGTCGGGAATCCCGAGTCTGGTCCCTCAGAGGCCTGAGGCCTGGCCCAGGCTCCTGCCCCGGGCCTCTGAGAGAGACCCAAAGCCCCGGCCCAGCGGCCTCTCCGAGCACCTCCAGCCAGGCCTCCTCCACCGAGGAGCCCTCCACCCGGGCTGGGCCTCCGTTATTTGGTCAATAAAGCCATTTCGATGGGCCCTGGACAGCTGGGTGAGTGGCCAGGACGGGACGTGGGCCTGAGTGTGAAAGATGCTGAGAGGGGGCTGCCCCCGGCTTCCCGCTGCCAAGGACGGCCTCTGTCAAGCCGGCTCAGGGCTGCCTGTTGGGAAGCCAGTGTTGGCTCTTAAGCCGGGAACCACTCACGAGGGTGTGGGGCATGTTTCTGGGGTCCTGCCTCAGTGATCTGAGCTCCCCCGGATGCCTTCCCAAGCCTCCTGTCATTTGTCTTCCTTTCCGTACTCTGAACCCTCCGCCAGGTCCCTCTCACTCAGCCCTGCATTTCAGCTCGAGGGTCACCTCCTCCATGAAGCCCTCCGGGAGCATCCCACCGCCCAGCCCGGAGCACCCTCCCCACCTGACAACAGGCGCCCGAGAGCCTGTGCCGAGGCCCCACGGACACGGCGCTGGGGTTTCTCACCACCACCACGTGTCACTCCTGCCTGGCCTGCTCTGCAGGCTTCGCCTTCGTCAGATGTGTAATCCTCCAAACGTCCTCGCCCGGGGTGCTGCTATCGGGCCCCTCGCCCGGTGAGGACAGGGAGGGCCATGGGCCCAAGGTCACAAGTGGGTGTTCGCAGAGAACGGACCAGCCCTGTCGGCTGCCACTCGTTGCCGGAGTGTTTATGTGTGGGCACGGGGATGGTGGCATGGGTGGAAGTGTGTGAGTCAGTGTGCGTGTGCATGTGTGTGTGTGTGTGTCCATGTCCGTGCGGGGCGGGGCCTAATTGAGGGTGTAGGTCCAGCATGTCAAACTCAAAGGCTCACACAGGCCAAAAAGAATAGAAAAAAAAAAAAAAAAAAAAAAAAAAAAGATCAAGAGCAATGAGAAGCCGAAACCGGTTTGGCTCAATGGATAGAGCGTCGGCTTGGGGACTGAAGGGTCCCGGGTTCGATTCTGGTCAAGGGCATGTACCTTGATTGCAGGCATATCCCCAGTAGGGGGTGTGCAAGAGGCAGCTGATCAATGACTCTCTCTCATCGATGTTTCTAACTCTATCTCTCTCCCTTCCCCTCTGTACAAAATCAATAAAAAATATTAAAAAAAAAAAAAAGAGCAATGAGAAGATTAATGTTTCTTCCCGGCACTTGGCGTCTCTCCTCTGCTACTCTCGCTCCCACTTTGGGGGAAAGCTTGTTCGTAGTGACTACTTCCATAGCTGCCCCAAGGAGCCCTGACTGGTTCGGCTCAGTGGCTAGAGCGTCGGCCTGCCGACTGAAGGGTCCCAGGTTCGATTTCGGTCAAGGGCACGTGCCTTGGTTGCAGGCACATCCCCAGTAGGGGGTATGCAGGAGGCAGCTGATCAATGTTTCTCTCTCATCAATGTTTCTATTAAATAACTCTCTATCCCTCTCCCTGTAAAAAAAATCAATAAAATATATTAAAACAACAACAACAAAACTGCCCCTGGGTGAATGTCGGCAATTCTGAATCTGACAGGAGACGTATTTCCTTTCATACATGTAATTACTGCTGACACCGTTATACCGGCCAGGCTGCAAAAATGTTCCTGGTGGGCTGCATGCGGCCCTTGGGCTGCGAGTTTGACACGCTCGGTGTAGGTCAGGGGGATGTGCTGTCTGAATGAGGCGGCCGAGCACCATGAGCGTGTCTCCGCTTTGTGGGTGTGTCCCTGCCTCTGTGAGGAAGCCCCGGAGAATCTGGGCAAAGGGTAAGAGCAGCCCACACCCTGTTATTGGGCCCGGCATGGAAATAGCGTCCCCGGTGGTGACGCAGGGGGGAATGCGTTGCCAGTAAACAGCTGAGGTGCTGTGGGGGAGGCGCGGGTCTGTGTGTCTTGTGGGGGGGAACCCCTTTCCTCTCCAAGGTAAGGGGTGCTGGCATCTGCTCCCCTCCCCCCTCCCATACCCCTCCCTACAGCAGTCCCTGCTCCTAGATAGGAAAGAGAACCTAGGCCAGCCCCAAGGTGAATGTCAGCAATTCTGGATTGTGTTCCACACCTCTTCCTGCTCCCCCCACACCGGGCTGGCCCTGTGGGTCCCCTGCAGCTTCTGCCGCTCGGATCTATCCCGATGCAGGAGAGGGGAGGAGGCTGGCTTTGGCCTGTCTTGCCCCTGGCTGGGGGAGGGGGCTGTGGCAGCCAGTTCCCTGCACTTACCCCTGAGTTGGGGCTCGGAGCAGGGAAGAGGAGTCTACATCATGGCCGCTGGGAGGAACCCCTGGGGCCCTGGCTGCCTTGTCTTCATCCCCGCTGGCCAGCCCATGGCCAAGTCCCTCGCCCTGCGTGGCGTGGGGCTCTCCTCCCGCTGCCCTGGACTGAGCCTCTGGCCTGGGAAGCTCTGAGTTGCCCCCACCACCCTGGGGTCCCCGGTGGCCCCCTGGGCCCTGGCTTCCCGAGGGCCCGGCCTCACCTGGCTTCCAGTGAGGCCTGTCCCCCGAGGGGGCTGCCCGTGGCGGTGACCGGCGCCGGTGGTGGAAGCGGTGTCTCCTCCGCTGGTGCCAGGCAGAGGCCCTGCGATGAGGCGGCCCCGGCCCAGCAGGCGGCCGAGCCGATGAGGCCGGGAGGTGCCACACCTGTGCTCTTTGGACCTTGCTGGGCGGGGAGGCCCAGGCCATCTGCCCACACGTAGCCTGGGCCGGAGGCTCTGTGCGCCCACAGGTGCCCACGCTCAGCCGGGCACGGCCTCCCAGCTCCCTGCGGGCCTGTGGCTCCCCTCCCTCTGCCTTTTGGGTTCCTCTTCGGGGGCCCCGGTCAGCATCAGGCACTGGGCCTGGGACGGAAGGAAAGCACACCCGGGCCTCGGCGGTCAGGGGGCAGGCGCTGGAGGGCACCCAGGCCTCAGGGAGGCTGTGGGCTGGTATGCGCGCCCGTGTGCGCAGGTGCTGCATGTGTGGGTGCGTGACCATGCGTGCCCAGGTGGTCCAGCACTCGGACCGCGTAGGAGCAGGCGGGGACCGGGGAGGGGACCTCGGTGGGCGTTACATGGAGGGATGAGAGTTCCTGCAGGGTCTACCTCGTTCGTCCTTTCTTCTGTTCCCTCCCACCCAGCAGGGCGCCCCCGTCCCCCATCCTCCTCTGCTGTCTTACCTCCCCACTTACCTAAGGTGACCAGACGCCCTGCTTTTGGCGCGACAGTCCCGATTTTTAACAATTTGTCCCGTGGGACTTTTTTAAAACCCCTCGGGACGCGGGACAAATTGTTAAAAATTGGGACTGTCCCACCAAAAGCGGGACGTCTGGTCGCCTTACACCTACCCCATGTCCTCTGACCTCTGGCCCGTGCCCTGCTGGCCTCGGCAAAGACGGGGAAGCAGGCACGAGGCTAGGTGCTGGGAGACGCCTTGGAGCTCAGCGTGAGCTCAGTGTCTCCCTCTGAACAACCAGCCTCCCCTCCCACGCGCCCTGCTTGTCCAGGGTACCACGCCCAGCCAGGCAGGGGACCGGGGCCACCCCGAGTCCCCCCTCAGCTCCCACACCCATCCTGTGAGCTTCACTCCCTTAGCAAGTTACTCCAGCCCCCCTCTCCCTCCACTCACCCCGCAGCCTGAGCTCAGCCCCTCTGCCTGTGACCGCCGGGCAGCCCCAGACTCCCTGCCTCCACTCTTTTTAAAAAAATATATATAGTTTATTGATGTTTTACAGAAGGAAGGGAGAGGGATAGATAGTTAGAAACATCGGATCAGTTGCCTCCTGCACCCCCCCCCCCCCACACACACACCGGGGATGTGCCCACAACCAAGGTACATGCCCTTGACTGGAATCGAACCTGGAACCCCTCAGTTCTCAGGCCGACGCTCTATCCACTGAGCCACACCGGCCAGGGCCCTGCTTCCACTCTCGTTCTCTTTGGTCCTTCCTCCTGCAGACGGGCTCTCCCTGCCCTGGGGTTTGGGCACTGCTCTCTGCTGCACACGCTCATTAGCACCTGGGAGATGGTTGCCACTCACTGGGGACAGTCTTGTCACCGCCAGGACACCGAGAATCCCAGGAACTAGATTTCAAGGGACTTCGGAGACTCCCTTACTTGAGCCTTCCCTGTGGCATTCTCTGGTGACCGGGACTTGGACCACTCTGGCGTCATGCTGCCCAAATGAGTCAGCGGCGGCCCAGGGCATCCTGAGTCGGTAGAGAGATCTGTATCCTCTCTAGTCAAATGTCATGGAATAGCAGCGTCATGAACTCCTGCCTCTGAGTCCCGCCTTATCTCTCCCCACGCCCTGTGCCCTGAACTTTGCCTCCAGCTGGAGAGTGACAGGTGATTCTTGGTGGAGTCATGGTCAGGGCGTGCTCCCGCGGTCCCCCGCCGGGAAGGCCGGGCTCGAGGGAAACCCCGAAGGTGCTCCCATGTCCACACGTGCGCTCTGCCTCCCCCAGACGCCTCCCCCGGCCCAGGGCCGAGGGGCGCTCTGGCCCTTGGCTCCCAGACATCTTGCACACACGTTGCTCCGTTTTTATTTTTAAAATACACTTTTAGCCCGGCTGGTGTGGCTCAGTGGTTGAGTGTCCGTCCAGGGACCAGCGGGTTGCCTGTTTGATTCCCCGTCAGGGCACACGCCCAGGCTGCGGCCTCGATCCCCAGTCGGGGGAGGCAGCCGATCCATGATTCTCTCTCCCTCTCTTCCTTCCCGTCTGTGAAATCAGTGATGTAAACAGGCAGAGGAGGGAAGGGCGTCTGGCAGCAGGAGGTGGCTGGGGAGGGTGACTGGAGGGCCACGGTCAGGTCTCTGGGGCCGGAGT